GCGCCCCGGGGGCACCGCTCCGGGTGTCCCCAGGATGAACTACCTGTCCCCAGGATGAGTTACCTGGATCTCCTCAACTTTCCTAAACGTGATGATGCCGTCAGGTAACTCCTGCAAAAGGAATTGATGCCACTTTCTCACCTTTCGAAAACGTAACTCTGTCGTCAGGTAACTTCTACGGCAGAAGCTGCTTAATAAAGAAAAGAAATCCGAGTTTCAAGCATCGCGTAAAATTCCGTCCAGAAATGAATATGCATTAGGCAGGCGGGGAATATACATGAGACAGGCGGGGTCATGTAAATTTGGCTGTTCTAAAAGATGGAACTTTTTAGCCCTTACTGTGCTTGCTTTGTGAAAGCTCCCCCGCGCAGAATAAACAGCGTCTGCTTTTTAAATGCGTCTGCGTTTAGAGAGCTCCTAAAATCGGCCCCGCTCCCGGCCGGGTGGGCACCGGGCCTGGGGGCTGCGAACGGGGAGGTCGGGGAGGCCCGCACCGGGGACACGGCGGGGCAAGCCACGCACAGCAGGGGGACCAGGGGATAAGCGGTGACGCCGCGGTGGGTTCAGCGGCCCGCACACCCCCCTCAGACCCCCGCGGCCGCCCCCGAACCCCGTGGAGCCGCCGCTCCCCTCACACCGCCACCCCCGGCCGCCATGACACCCGCCCCGCGCCGCTCTGCGCGCCGCGACCCGTCTCGATAGTGCGGGAGGTGTTCTCGGGACCTCCGGGCCGGCAGGGGGCGCGGCGGAGCGCGACGGGGCGGGGCGGGCGCGGGACCTCCGGGCCGGCAGGGGGCGCGGCGGAGCGCGGCGGGCGGCGCGCGGGCCGGCGCCGCCATGGACGCGCTGAGCCGGGCAGGGCCCCGGGCCCGCCGCGCCGCCGCCGCCCCCGGGCCCGGCCCGTCCCCGCTGCCCTGGGGCCGCTTCGCCGCCTGGATCGACTGCGTGTGTGTGGTCACCTTCGACCTGGAGCTCGGGCAGGCCATGGAGGTGCGCGGGCACCGGGGCGCGGAGGGGCAGCGGTGGGGGCGTGAGAAAGGGGTCAGGGATGGGGAGAGGGGGGGTCGGGGATGGGGGTGCGGGGACATCGGGGATAGGAGTGGGGACATCAGGGATAGGTGTGGGGACATCAGGGATAGGTGTGGGGACATCGGGGATAGGAGTGGGGACATCAGGGATAGGTGTGGGGACATCGGGGATAGGTGTGGGGACATCGGGGATAGGAGTCTGGGTGGCAGGGATGGAGAGAGGGGGGATCGGGGATGGGGGGAGATCAGGGATGGAGGGTCAGGATACAAGTTCGGGGGGGTTGTCTGTGGGTACGAACTCGGGGGTCTGTGAGTACAGACTCAGGGGTCCTGTGGGTATAAACCCAAGGGAGGCTCTGGGTACAGACTCAGTGTTCTGTGGGTACAAACTCAGGTTCTGTGGGTACAAACTCGGGGGTCTGTGGGTACAAACTCGGGGGTCTGTGGGTACAAACTCAGGTTCTGTGGGTACAAACTCGGAGGTCTGTGGGTACAAACTCGGGGGTCTGTGGGTACAGACTCACAGCCAAGCCCTTGCTTAGGGCCCGGTCAGGATCCTGAATTCCACGTGTTTTATGTTCCCTGTCTCTCGGTGTACTTCTGTCGTTGGCCTGGAATTCAGCTCTGAAAGCTTCAGAGATTCAAAAGATTCTGAAAAAGATTCAAAATGTTCTGTAATCCAGGGGTTCCCCCTGTGCTGCTGTTTGCAGAGACAGCAAGAAAGCTGCTAGAAAGGAAAGAAGGGGCGTTGCAGAAATTAGGTGTCGTTTCTGTCTCTGACCCCTCCACCCATTTACATTTCTTCAAATAGTCGATGACAGAAGGGAAAAGTGCCAGGGAGGGAGGAGCCAGGTCTGGGATGCTCTCCCTGCCCTCCCCACCAGCCCTTTGCCCTCCAACCCCCCAGGCTCTGACTTTTCTCCTCCCCACAGCCACAGAAGGGCTGGAAATCCCTCCCCGTGGTTCCACACCACCCCTGGTGTCACTGGCCCAGGCTGCTCCCTGCCCAGCCTTCCCAAACACAGGCATTTCCTGGGATGTCGGCCCCGTTGCCATGGCAGCAGCTCTTGGCACCTCCCGGGGTCCAGAGTTTGGGGTGCCGGGATCCATTTCCAACAACGTGTCTCCTCCTTGCTCTTCATTCCCATGGATGGGGAGAGCACTTAGCACACATTATAACATGGCTTAAGCCCTTTTGGACTTTCACACCTCAAACATTCCTTTTTACTTACCATTTTTTTGCTTTTGAGAAGTTGTAGCCACACGGATTCTCTCTGGTTTGGATCTGGAGGTTTTAATCTTGTGGATATTTAGTGATTTCCCCCCACCCCAAACGTAGAGGAATGTCAGACTTAGAGGGAGGGGGAGTTAAAGATGCAAAATCAGAGAATAATTAAGGTTGGAAAAGACCTCCACAATCATCAAGTCCACCCCTGGAAGTCAAGGCCTGATTTTCAAACCATTTACATGCAGAAAGACCCCTAAAATGCAGCAGGAGAAGTAGGAGCCTCGTCTCAACTCTTGACCTGAGTTAGACCTTCAGCAAATGTGGAAAGCTGTGTGCCATGGGATTCCTGGGCTCCTGGGCAATCAGGATCAGCTGCCCAGCTCTCCCTGTTCCTGGTCTGGTCATTATTCCATGGGAATTAACCACGTCCATGTTTGCCTGGAGATTAAATCAGTCCCAGCCCCGGGAATGTGCTCCCTGTCCTGAGGCAGACATGGAGCAGAGGGAAGTGTGTCCTGTGACCTCCCTGATCCCTTCCCTCTGCAGCATCCCGACCCTTCCCTGCCCGTGTTCCTGCCCCTGGAGCTGCCCTGGGATGTTTGCCCCCCGTGTTGCAGCAGGTCCCTGCTCGCAGAGCCGCTCCCACCGAGGGCCGGGCACTGGCACTGTTCACTGGGAGTTTGGCTCTGGCTGAGACGCCCTTGCCAAGGAACCCGGGGGGAACTCTCAGGGCTCCCTGGACTTCCAGCTCCCTGGCACGGTGCCACCCGTGCTATTTATAGCCCGGAAAGGAGAGTCAAGCACTGCTTGGAGCTCCTGATTTGAGAAGCAGCTGCCTCTGGAGCAGAGTTCCCGTGGCTGGGGACGGATCTCCGTGTCCCGTCTCAGCCTGGGCCGGCTCCTTCCTCCTCTGCCCATTTAAAGCCTCCTGCAATTCCTGCATTTTCCCACCGGGAAAGGCTGTGTGGGCCAAGGTACCTCCTTGTAGGATCTGTTACTTTGGGGAAAATAAGGCATTTTTAGTGTGTAGAAGTGGAGAACACGCTGACTGACTGTCTCTCGTCTCTTTGGCAGCTGGTGTATCCTCATGACTTCAGACTGACAGAGAAAGAGGTAACAACTCTTTATTCCCTTTTTTCTCTCCCATTTTTAAGCCACTCAGCAGCTCTGATGGGGGGATTCTTACTGGGTGTCTTGGGTTTTTTTGCAGAAAACGAGTATCTGCTACTTGTCCTTCCCAGACTCCTACTCAGGTAGGTGGCACCAGGGGTGAAGGAAGTGGGTCCAGGATGGAAGGGCTGAGTCATCCCCTGGGATGCAGCACAGGCTGATGGGCTGCATCCTCCAGAACTGGGATTCTGGTGCCCTCAGGGCTGAGCAAAGAGGCTTCTTGTCCTGTTGGTTGATGTCTGCATACAGAATCTGTGATCTGCTGGCTGGTTCCTCTATAAACTCATGCACTCCTGCTTCCCCTGTGCCAGTGAAACATCCACCAGAACCAGGAAGGGTTCCCTGAGCTGGCAGCTCTTGGCTCTCACATTCCTGTGTTTGTGAGTGCCCAGTGAGAAGCAGGAGCTGGGAGAGGACAATTCCACAGCAAAAGTGTTCCCAAAGCCTGTGTTTATAAACCAGAAAGGGGACAATAAGAATTAAGTCTCAATCCAAGCCTGGTTATTTAAGAGTGGCTCCTGACTGTTGGTTTCCTACAGCTTCCATGGGCTTATGGAATGGGTTGGGTGGGAAGGGGCCTCAAATATTGTCCAGTGCCACCCCCTGCCATGGGCAGGGACACCTCCCACTGTCCCAGGTTGCTCCAAGCCCTGTCCAACCTGGCCTTGGACACTTCCAGGGATCCAGGGGCAGCCACAGCTTCTCTGGGCAACCTGGGCCAGGGCCTGCCCACCCTGCCAGGGAAGAACACTTTCCTGCCATTTCCTTCCCTCCCCTCCTGTCTCGTGCTGTCTCTCGGGGGTTTCTTTATGCTGTTCCTCTCCGTTTCAGCGCTGGAGCTCCTTGCAGCCCCCCCTCCCTGCCCCACGGGAGCCATGCCCAGCTCTCCTGAGCCCTGTGCTGTTCTCTGTCCCAGGTGGCCTTGGGGACACCCAGTTCAGCTTCCGCCTGCGGCAGTCGGGGGGCCCCAGGACCTCCCCGTTCCAGGACGACGGTCGGTACAACCGGGAGGCCCCCCTGACGCTGCAGGTCGGTCCTGGCTCTGCTCAGCCCTCCCGGGGCACGCAGGGCTGCCTGGGGACACCCCACACATCCCGTGGGGCTGGGGGCTCGGGGGGAAGGGCCCGTTTCCTCTGGCCGTGGGAATAGTCAGGGCAGAGGAGGATTTCGGGACAGGGATTTACTGCTCACAGAGAGGATGGAGATGGAGCTGTGCTGGGAGAGGGAACTGAACCGGGGGGATCCAGTGTGCTGGGAAAGAGAGCTGGATCAGGGGGACTCCCAGCTGCTTTGGGAGAGGGAACTGAATCCCAGGGATTAAAGATGGAACTGGCTCAGGGGACCCCAGTTATACTGGGAGATGGAACTGGATCGGGGGACCCCAGTTACACTGGGAGATGGAACTGGATCGGGGGACCCCAGTTATACTGGGAGATGGAACTGGCTCAGGGGACCCCAGTTACACTGGGAGATGGAACTGGCTCAGGGGGACCCCAGTTACACTGGGAGATGGAACTGGATCGAGGGACCCCAGTTACACTGGGAGATGGAACTGGCTCAGGGGACCCCAGTTACACTGGGAGATGGAACTGGATCGGGGGACCCCAGTTACACTGGGAGATGGAACTGGCTCAGGGGGACCCCAGTTACACTGGGAGATGGAACTGGATCGAGGGACCCCAGTTACACTGGGAGATGGAACTGGATCGAGGGACCCCAGTTACACTGGGAGATGGAACTGGCTCAGGGGGAAGCCAGGTCAGAGCAGTGTCACCCCCAGGAGCAGCAGTGGCACGCAGGGAATCCCCCAGGGAATCCCCCAGGGAATCCCCCAGAGAATCCCCCAGGGATCTGGCTGCCTGTGCACGTTCCCAGGAGGAAACCCAGGAGCGTCCCTGTCTGTGGTCAGTGTTCCCCTCGTGTGTGCAGGGGTGGTGGTTGTTCTCCTTTGTTGCAGGACCTATGGGTGTAAAGGCAGCTGTGGAATGCCACAGATCCACCCTTGGGCTGCCTCTGTGGGGTGGGTCAGCCATTCCCAACCCCTCGTGTCCTTCAGCTGTGGTTTTCCACGGGGGAACTGTCCATTCCCTGCGGGGGAGGGATGTGCTGAGCTCTGTGGCTTTTCCAAACTGAGCAGGTGGAATCAGCTCTGTCCTCTCCTGCTTTCCCCTCTGAGGTGCTGCTTCCTGTGCATGGGCCTTTCTAACCCTTCCACAGCCTCTTTGTGGGACACCTCAGTCCTGGGATGGGCTGCTGCTCTGAGAGGCAGTGGGAGGATTTCTTTCCCTAAGTTCTGGTCTAGAGATTCTTGAGCTTGGATACATCTTTGTAGCACTGGGACACTGCCACGAGTCACCCAGCTTTAGAGTGAGGGAAGTAAAACTGCCAAAGTGCTGGATTCTGTTGTGGGAAAAGAACATTTGGGAAGAGAAAGGGGGCCTTTAACTCTGGGGCTTCAAAAATGATGTTAAGGATGTCTGTGTTCAGCACTGATAACTATCCTTCCTCCTTGCTGTGGGATCTTAGAGGCAATAATGAGCTTGAACTGATCCCTGGGGATTTGTGCTGCATCCCTTGGTTTTCCTGGATGCTGTGGAGGAAACAAGACCCTGCTTTGTGCCACCCTGAGCAGAGGTTGTGCAGTGCTGCCTTCACTGCCCCAGGGAGGAGGAATGCAGGGGCATGGGACAGGACATTTCCTCCCCTGGGTGAGGATAGATTCCTTCCTCAGCAATTCCCTGGCCTCCAGCTGACGGTGGGAGCAGGAGGAGCTCAGTGGGTTGGCCCAGCTGGTCCTCTGTGGAAATCTCCATTAACCCTTCAGATGCTGGGCCTGAAGGTGCTGCAGAGGGGCCAGTGAAGGTGCTGCCTGGAGGCTGGAATGGTTTTTGTTATGGGATAGAATCATGTCATGGGATGGTTTGGGTGGGAAGAGACATTAAAGATCATCCCATCCCCTGCCACAGGCAGGGACACCTTCCACCAGCCCAGGTTGCTCCAAGCCCCGTCCAGCCTGGCCTTGGACACTTCCAGGGATCCAGGGGCAGCCACAGCTGCTCTGGGCAACCTGGACCAGGGCCTCCCCACCCTCCCAGCCAGCAATTCCTTCCCAATATCCCATCTCTCCCTGCCCTCTGGCACTGGGAAGCCATTCCCTGTGTCCTGTCCCTCCAGGCCTTGTCCCCAGTCCCTCTCCAGCTCTCCTGGAGCCCCTTCAGGCCCTGCCAGGGGCTCTCAGCTCTCCCTGGAGCCTTCTCTTCTCCAGGGGAACCCCCCCAGCTCTCCCAGCCTGGCTCCAGAGGGGCTCCAGCCCTAGCTGTGTCCCCTCCCTCTCCCATTTGGAAAGCTCTCCCAGTGAGTTGGGCACAGGGAGCTGTAACTGGGGGAGTGCTGGGCTGTGTCAGAGCAGGAGGGAGGTGGGTGTGGGGTCAGGGGCTGGGGTTGGTGGCCCAGCACTGGTTTGTGCCTCACTCTGGGGGTCTCTTGCAGCGCGAGGCCGCTCATTACTTCGGGTACGTGTACTTCAGACAGGTCAAGGACAGCTCCATGAGGAGGGGGTACTTCCAGAAGGTGAGTGCTGAATCCCTGAGGCTGGAAAAGCCCTCCCAGCCCATGGATCCCCCCTGGGCCCCATCCCCACCTTGTCCCCCAGCCCAGAGCACTGAGTGCCACGGCCAGGCCTTCCTGGGTCACCTCCAGGGCTGGGCACTCCAAACCTCCCTGGGCAGCCCCTGCCAAGGCCTCCCCACCCTTTCCAGCAACAAATTCCTCCTGATGGCCAACCTGACCCTCCCCTGGCCCAGCCTGAGGCCGTTTCCCCTTGGCCTGGCCCTTGTTCCCTGGCAGCAGAGCCCGACCCCCCCCCGGCTCCCCCCTCCTGGCAGGGACTTGCAGAGCCAGAAGGTCCCCCCTGAGCCTCCTTTGCTTCAGGATGAGCCCCCCCAGCTCCCTCAGCTGCCCCTCGTGCAGTGTAAGTCCGTGCAGTGCTGAAGGGGTGGTGCCAGGGCTGTTTGACCCCCAGCTGTGCCCTTTTGCAGTCCCTGGTGCTCGTGTCCCGCCTGCCCTACGTGAACCTGTTCCAGTCCCTGCTCCAGCTCATTGCCCCGGAATACTTCGACAAGCTGGAGCCCTGCCTGGAGGCAGGTGAGCAGGGAGGGCTGGGAGGGAGGGTTTGCAGCCTGAAATCCTGCGGGGGTGTGATCAGGAGGTTCCGGAAAAACAGTTGAAATGTTCCAGATTGGTTCGTTCTGTAACAAATTCCAGCAGGGAAGAACTTTTCATCCGCTCGTCCAAATGACAACCAGCTGTAAAGGAGGCATGGATGGGAAGGGGGTGGATGGGGCTGTCAGTGTGTTCCCAGAGACAGGAAGAACTGCTGCTGCTGCATCTCTGGCAGCTCTTTATTGCCTTGTTCAGCTTAATCCTGGTTTGTTAACACCGTGGTGCTGCTGTGGGAATGAGGGTGCTTTGCCGTGAGTCAGGGGGACATGTGGGCTGGGAACAGGCAGTGATGCAGTGCCAGAACCTCCAGGAGCAGCGGGACGAGCTGAGTCTTCCTCCAGGTGACACCTTTCCCTTGTCCTGTGTCCCTCAGTGTGCAACGAGATCGACCAGTGGCCTCCTCCTGTGCCGGGCCAGACCCTGAACCTGCCCGTGATGGGAGTTGTCATCCAGGTACCTGTGGCAGAGTGGGAAGGGGAATCTGTGTTCCTTCATTCTGGTTGCTAAAAGAGGTGTTCACCCCAGATGCTTCCCCTTTGGTCCCAACCTTTTCAGTCCCCACAGCTGGAGTTGGGGATGAGGAAGTTTTCTCTCGTGGGGGGTTGTAGGGCAGGGAAGTGTGTGATGCTGATCCCATCTCCAGGGGTGACCCCTGCTCTGTGTGTGATCCAGGTGAGGATCCCATCCAGGGTGGATAAACCAGGATCAAGCCCAGTGAAGCAGTTCAATCAAGAGGTGAGTTAAGCCTGGCCCAGGCCAGTGGTGAGCAGAGCCTGGACCACTGAGGGAGGAGGGTGGGAAGAGCTGGAGCTCTTAAATCCTGTTGGAAAAGCCTGGGATCAGTGTGGACTTAGTCACCCACTTGGTTAAACTTCAGGCTCTCGTGTCTGGGAGTCAAACAGGGCTCTCAGCACAGAGTCTGTGTGCTCTGAGTTGTTGTTCCCCTTGCTTGTCCTGGGAATTCAGGCCCAAGGAGGTCTCCTGCCTTCATCTTCTGAGCTGTGGTGCAGCCTTTGTTCTCTGAGCAGCTTCACCGCTTTGGTTCAGCTTTGATTTCAGTTCTTGTCGTGTCATTGTTCCCCTTTTCTCCCCTTTGGCTGGTGTTGGTTTGGGGCCCACATTTCTAACCCTTACTGGCTCTGTATCCCAAGCTCTGTCTTTCCCCAGAGGAGACTCTGGAAAGCGAAGGAGCAGACCTGGGCAGCCTTTCACATCTTGAAAGGAAGGGATTTTTGTCAGTTTATAAGCAAGGAAATTAATTTGGACCTTGAATGCTCAATCCAGGCCTGTTCCTGCTCACCCCTCTGAGTGTTCACCTTGTTCTCTTCTTTCTGTCTTGCTTTGTGGTTGATGGCTCAGTTTGGATGGAATTCCAGTCAGGATACTTCCATTTCCTGACAGCTTTACTAACATTTACTAACAGGCTTTTCTGCCTTCCTCCTTCAGAATCTGTTACCAGCCCCACTGGTTCTCCCCAGTGTCCATGAGCTGGACCTGTTCAGGTGAGAGCCACCATTCCAACCCTCTCCCCTCCACCTGAATCCCCTCTTCCTGCTCAGAGTGTCCCAGAAATCACAGGGATGATGCAGAATCAAAAATGGCTCTCAACGAGGAAAGACTGAGAGAACTGGCATTGTTCAGCCTGGAGAAGAGAAGGCTCCAGGGAGACCTTGGAGTCCCTTCCAGTGCCTAAAGGGGCTCCAGGAGAGCTGGAGAGGGACTGGGGACAAGGCCTGGAGGGACAGGACACAGGGAATGGCTTCCCAGTGCCAGAGGGCAGGGTCAGATGGGATATTGGGAAGGAATTCCTGGCTGGGAGGGTGGGCAGGCCCTGGCCCAGGTTGGGCAGAGAAGCTGTGGCTGCCCCTGGATCCCTGGAAGTGTCCAAGGGCAGGCTGGACGGGGCTTGGAGCAACCTGGGCTGGTGGAAGGGGTGGAACATCAGGAGATGATCCTTAAGGTCCCTTCCCACCCAACCCATCCCATGGTTCTGTGGTCAGGCTGCCTGACATTGCTGAAGAATTTCCTCTAAATGTGTATAAGATGATTGAGCGACAGGACGTGCAAAGACACCTGAATTCCATTGTGGAATGCTAAAAATTCATCCTAGATCTCAAATTCCTGGATGGAAGCACTTCTGGGTGGGTTTGTGTGGAACTGCTGTGTCTGGTCTTTCCTGAGCTGCCTTTCTACCCTCCCACCACTCTCAGGTGTTTCCAGCCAGTGCTGATTCACATCCAGATGCTGTGGGAGCTGATGCTGCTGGGAGAGCCCATGGTGGTGATGGCACCGTCCCCAACTGTCTCCTCAGAAATGGTTCTGGCCCTCACCAGGTAATGCCCTCGGATTCTGACAGACTGGGAGCTGTAACAACCAATTCTGGCAGCTTTTCTCCCTCAGCTCCAGTCCCTGCTGGTCGGTGGGGTTGGGTTGGGTTTGCACAGGGAAGCTTTGTAGGATGAGCAGCACAGTGAGAGTCCTGCTCGTGTCCCCCCAGGGCAGAGAGGAGGGCAGGGGAACCTCCCTGATGGTGGTCCACAGCTCTGACCTCTGCTTTAGCACAAAAACCCAAAACCCTGGAATTCTCCATAGTGGTTCAACCAGGCCAAGTGCCGGGTCCTGCCCTTGGGTCACCCCAACCCCAGGAAGGCTCCAGGCTGGGGCAGAGGGGCTGGAAAGCTGGAAAAGGCCCTGGGGGTGCTGGTGGCAGCGGCTGGACGTGAGCCCAGCTGTGCCCAGGGGGGCAGGAGGGCAATGGCCCCGGGGCTGTGGCAGCCCCAGCGTGGGCACAGGCCCAGGGCAGGGATTGTCCCTGTGCTGGGAACTGGGGAGGCCCCCCTGGAATCCCGGGGGCAGTTCTGGGCCCTCAGCCAGGAGAGACCTGGAGGGGCTGGAGCGTGTGCAGGGAAGGGAAAGGAGCTGGGAAGGGTCTGGAGCAGCAGGAGGGGCTGAGGGAGCTGGGGGGGCTCATCCTGGAGCAAAGGAGGCTCAGGGGGGACCTTCTGGCTCTGCAAGTCCCTGCCAGGAGGGGGGAGCCGGGGGGGGTCGGGCTCTGCTGCCAGGGAACAAGGGCCAGGCCAAGGGGAAACGGCCTCAGGCTGGGCCAGGGGAGGGTCAGGTTGGGGCTGAGGAGGAATTTGTTGCTGGAAAGGGTGGGGAGGCCTTGGCAGGGGCTGCCCAGGGAGGTTTGGAGTGCCCAGCCCTGGAGGTGTCCCAGGAAGGCCTGGCCGTGGCACTCAGTGCTCTGGGCTGGGGGACAAGGTGGGGATGGGGCACGGGGTGGATCCATGGGCTGGGAGGGCTTTTCCAGCCTCAGGGATGCCGGGACTGTGTTGCTGTGGCAGCACAAGGCCCTGCCCCAGCCCCAGCTGCAGTCCCCTGTGTTGCAGTGTCCTGGCCCCGCTCCGGTACTGCTGCGATTTCCGGCCCTACTTCACCATCCACGACAGCGAGTTCAAGGAGTACACGACCCGCACTCAGGCCCCGTGAGTACCCCCGGGCCCCTCCTGCCCCTCTGGGTGAGGAGACCCCCCCATGTTTCCACTGTCCTGCTTTCTCCCCCCTCTCCAGGCCGAACATCGTCGTGGGCGTCACAAACCCTTTCTTTATCAAAACCCTCCAGCACTGGCCGCACATCCTGCGGGTGGGGGAGCTCAGGATGTCAGGTGACGGTGGCACCGAGGTCCTGTGGGGCTGGTGGGCTGTGCAGGGGGCTGGCAGGGAGCTGCAGGGGCTGTGATTTTACTCGTCTTCGTTCCTGGGAGAGCTGGGAAGCCAGGGGAGGTGTGGACGGGGGCCCAGGCCGCGTGCAGGGTGGTGCAGTGGGAGAGACAGGTTCTGGTGAGGGTGATTTGCTGTGTTTTCCTTCTCAGAAAAGGAGAAGCCCTTCCTGGGCAGGAAAGAGAAAACTGCCTTGAGAACAAGAAAAAGGTGGAGGGAGAGACTGAATTATTAACTGTGAAACCAAGAAACCTCGAGGTTGAGGAGCTGGTTTTGTGCAGTGCCTCCTTAACACATCCCTGTTCCACAATGGTAGCAGGACAGTGAGATGAGGCTTCTGTGAGGGTAGAGGGGAGGGAGGGTGTGAGTTAGGATGGACGAGTGTAGGGCTGGGTGTTCTCAAGGGCAAAGTGCCTCCCAGGGGCAGAGGCAGAGCCTGAACTGTCACCCCTGTCTGTCACAGGCGACCTGCCCAAGCAGGTGAAGGTGAAGAAACTGGCCAAGCTCAAAACCCTGGACACAAAACCAGGTCAGTCCTCTTCTCAGCCACAATCCAATCTTGTTTACCCTTCCCTGGGGAGGATTTTGCAGGAATCAGAACGTTGTGTCCATCGTTCTTTGCTTCCCAACAAGTGGGTGTGTTGGTGTTGCCACCTCCTCACACCTGATCCAGGAAAACTGCACACCTTTGTTCTTTGGGGTGGAAAAAGCCAATTTGAATTGTTGTAACACATTATCCCAGTGTTTCCATGGGTTTATTTTGTGTACCACACCTGCTGTTTAGGTGTGATGGCAGTGAGGGGAACTTGCTCGGCTGTCACAGCTGAGGGTCCCTCCCAGCCCCTGCCAAAAGCTGCCTCCAGGAAGTTCTCTCACCATAAACTCAGTGTAAGAAGGTCCTGGAGTCAGTTCAGAGCCCTTTACTCCTGCTGTGAGTACTGGCTGCCTTAGCAATTCCATGATTTTGCAATGATTTAATGATTTTTGTGATTGCACACACAGCTCCCAGGGTCTGTGCTGGGGATCTCAGTCCTGTCCTCCCTGCACTGTGTGACAGTGTCTCCTCCAGAGAAACAGGCAAAAATTTGTTTCTCATTTCTGGTTTTTTTTTCCTGATTTTATGGGTTTTTTTCCAATCTAGGAATCTACACTTCTTATAAAACATTCCTTCACAAAGACAAATCCCTGATAAAAAGATTGCTAAAGGTAAGCACTTCCCACTGTCTCCTGCATCCTGGGTGGGAAATCTGTGCCACCAGCTTGGTTTAAACAGACAGAGCCCTCCAAAAGGAACAGGCTTTGCAGTGGGCAGTGATTTAGTTGGGTGTATCTGGACATGTCTCTCGTGCCAGATTTAGGATTTTTCACATGATATTAAGGGTTAAACACTGGTTCTAACGATGCCCTGAGTGAGAAGAATTGATACCAAAATGCAGCCCAAACCCCAGGTTTTGTGTAGTGCCATTTGCAGTTTTAGGATGTTTAAGTGGGGATTGGAGGCTGTGTTTGGCTGCCCAGTCCCAGCCCAGTCCCAGCCCAGTCCCAGCCCGTGTGTGGCTGCCCGGGGCTGTTCCGTGTCCGTGGGTGACACCCCAGTGACCCTGGGGGGGTTGTGCTTCCAGGGCATCCAGAGGAAACGTCCCTCCGAGGTGCAGAGTGCCCTGCTGAGGCGTCACCTCCTGGAGCTCACCCAGAGCTTCATCATTCCCCTGGTGAGTGCCAGGGAGTCCCCAGGGCAGAGGGGAGGGCACAGGAGGGCGAGGGGTTTGCTCTTCCCTGTAACAGCGTCTGTAACAGGCTCAGGGGCGTGGAATCCTGGAGTGGTTTGGGTGGGAAGGGACCCTTAAACTCATCCCAGCCCCTGCCATGGGCAGGGACACCTTCCACTAGCCCAGATTGCTCCGAGCCCCGTCCAGGGGTTTTAGTGCCAGGGATTCCAGTCCCTCCTGCCAACCTCTTCCCACCTCACCTGTTCTCTCATGGCACTCTTGGGGTTCCTGCAGCAGCATTTTGTGACCTGGATCCTGGTGGGAAACCAGCTGGGACACTTGGACTCACATAAAATGCAACTGTGAAGGAAAAAATGGAGGAAAAACCCAAAGTATGAGGCTGTTGTTGGGCCTGGGATGCTCTGGAGAAAACCCTCAAACTCTGTGACCTCACAAGAGGCTCCTCAATTGTTGGAACTTTTTTATCACTATTTTAATTTCTGGGGTTTATTTCTTCTCAGGAGCACTATATTGCCAGCCTGATGCCTCTGCAGAGAGCCATCACTCCCTGGAAGGTAGGTTGGGTTTTCCAGTTGCTCCTTCTTCCCTGTGACTGCAGGGTTGGGAATTGTTGCCCCACGTGCTGGTCACACGCTCTGATACTCCATGTAACGTCCCTCCTTAAAGGAAGAGGGTTGTTACTCCTTTGAAACTAAAATAAAGAAGTTGAAACAAACCTTGGGACAGATGTTTCCTGTTTTGCCATGAGCTGAGCTTTGGGAATTTCATTGGAAGGTTAACCTTAAGGTGTTCCTGCAGTTTTATTCCGAGTTTGTGCTTTGTGCACCTTTTCCAGTGTAAATACAGGCCTCGCTTTCCTGGTTTCTTTTGGAGTTCTCTAACCTGGACTTTGTGTGTGCAGAACCCTCCCCAGATCCGTCCTTTCTGTCAGGAGGATTTCATGAAGACCCTGGAACACGCTGGGCCCCAGCTCACCTGTGTGCTCAAGGGGGACTGGTTAGGCCTCTACAGGTAGGATCTGGGGCATTAATTCTCTTATCCCATCAACAGTTATTAGTTATAGTGAACATCAAACCCTGAATTAGGACTGGGAGCAAAGAGGGAGTTTTGGGACTGGTCACCTGCAGAACTTATCCTATGAATTGATTGATTCAGAATGGTCAGGAAGAGCAGCATCAGGTCAGAGTGAACCCGGTGGTTTGTGGGCCTTAATGAGCAGAGAGAGTTGGTCCACAGTTACAGTAAGGCTAATTAAATATAAATGCTATGGAAAGGACAATACAATGTGAGTGGAAAGAATCCAGAAGTTGGATACTCAGTGGGAAGGAAAAGGAGAAGGGAAAAAATCCAAGAAAGTGATCAGAAACAGTAATCACGGAATTCCAGAGTCCTGGAATGGGTTGGGTGGGAAGGGACCTTAAAGCCCATCCAGTGCCACCCCCTGCCATGGGCAGGGACACCTCCCACTAGCCCAGGTTGCTCCAAGCCCTGTCCAACCTGGCCTGGGACACTTCCAGGGCCAGGGAGTCCCTCTCTGCTCAGCCTGTGCCAGGGCCCGGCATTCCCGGAGCCAGCTCTGGATCCCCCTGTCCCCTTCCCAGCGTCACCTCATGGAGCTCTTGGGCACATGGTGGGATACTGGGGTGTCCTGTGCAGGTACAGCAGTTGGACTGGCTGATCCCAGGGGTCCCTTCCAGCTCAGAGTGCTCCATGACTCCCCGATTCCCGTCCCTCTCTCCCTGCAGGCGTTTCTTCAAGTCCCCGAACTTCGACGGCTGGTTCCGGCAGCGGCACCGGGAGATGACCCACAAGCTGGAGGCCCTTCACCTGGAGGCCATCTGTGAGGCGGTATGTGCCATCCAGGGGGGTTGGGGCAGTGCCAGGGGACCCCTGGGACCAGGAGTGAGGGCACTGCTGCCTCGGGCATTCCCTGGTCCTGCTCCGATGGGATCTGTGCCCTTGGGATCGCGGCCCTGCCTCGTGTCCCTCAGGGCACAGGGATAACCTGGGACAGGGCAGCTCCCACGTCCTGCTCCCGCTGCTCCTGCCAGCTGTTTGCCATTCCTCAGGCTCTTCCCAAGCCAGGCTGGAAGCACCAAGGGCTTTTAGTTTATTTGGCCCAAATAGTAGGAAGAAATTCTTTACTCAGAGAAGAGAAGGCTCCAGGGAGAGCTGAGAGCCCCTGGCAGGGCCTGAAGGGGCTCCAGGAGAGCTGGAGAGGGACTGGGGACAAGGCCTGGAGGGACAGGACACAGGGAATGGCTTCCACTGCCAGAGGGCAGGGATGGGTGGGATATTGGGAAGGAATTGTTGGCTGGGAGGGTGGGGAGGCCCTGGCCCAGGCTGCCCAGAGAAGCTGTGGCTGCCCCTGGATCCCTGGAAGTGTCCAAGGGCAGGTTGGACGGGGCTTGGAGCAACCTGGGCTAGTGGGAGGTGTCCCTGCCCATGGCAGGGGTGGCACTGGATGGGCTTTAAGGTCCCTTTTCCCACCCAAACTATGATCATCTGTTGTGACTTCCTTAATGCCTGATGAAAATAGGGAGGATTTTTGGCAGTGCCTACTGGGACAATTCCTTGAGCTGAGCAGTTGCTGGAGTCCCCCAGGAGCCCTGGAATCCCTCCAGGTGCATCTCCAGCTGCTTCCACCCCTGGCAGCAGTGCAGGTCCTTGTCCATGGTGTGGGCAATGCCAGAGCTGCTCCTGGCTGGAAGTGGATTGGAATCCTGAGCACTGCTCCTGCAGGGAAGAGCCTGGTGCTGTTGTGGCCAGGACAGTGGGAAGAGCTCTGTCTCCCTCATTTGGGAATGAGGATGAGAAACCTGTCCTCACCTTTGTTTCAGGCTTTGCTTAGGGGTATCCTCTGGGCAGTGTCCCTGAGGAAGGCCCCTGTCTCTCTGTAGGACATCGTGGCCTGGATGAAGGACAAGTCTGAGGTGGAGATCGTGGACCTGGTGCTCAAACTCCGGGAGAAGCTGGTGAGTTCTGCCCTCTCCCTGCACTCACTGCTCTCACTGTCTGTGGCAGGGACAGCCCAGGGACATGGATCACACCTGTGCCTTGGAAAGCTTTGTTCTCACTCCCTGGAGAACTGGGAAATGGGACCATCGGGAAACCTTGTGCAAAATGCTCAGAGTTCTGAGGGTTTGGGTTCTTCGCCTCCCTGAGGCCCAGGGGTGTTTCCTTGTTGTCTCATATCCCAGACTAGAGCGACCACGTGCCAGAGCCAAAGGCAGAGGGGAAAGGGGAACCCCTGAAGGAGTTTTGCCCCCGTGTGTGTCCCTGTGCTGCAGGTGCGGGCCCGGTGCCAGCACGTGCCCGTGAGGGAGGAGACGCTGCAGCGCGTGGGGCTCTACATCGACACCATCATCGGCTCCCTGCCCGAGGACCTGCAGGCCGTGCTGCACCACCCCTGAGCACAGGGGGGCTCCTGGAGAACCAGGGACCCTCCCACCCCGCTCCCACCCCGCTCCCACCCGGCTCTGGGCAGCTGCAGTTGTGTTTGGAGAGGAGATTCCTTCCCGGATCCCGCCGGCGGGGCCCGGATCTCCCCTGGGGGGGACTCGGAGCTGGGTCGGAGCCGTGGCTGCCCTGGGGAGCCTGTGCACTGCTCCCTGTCTGGTCCCGCTCCGAGGGGCTGGGCTGGGGCTGTCCACCAGGAATTGTCCCCCGTGTGGCTGCCAGCAGGGCAGGAAGTGCCACCAGGCCTCCAGCAGCACGTGCCAGGCTGTGCCCGGCGTGCGGTGCCCGCTCAGACACACCATCCTTGTCCAGCGCATTCCCATGGCCTCATCCTGCCTGGAAGGAGCAGGAGCAGCCCTGGATGGGGCTCAGGACAGCTCCTGATGATGCGGATGAGGTGAAGAAGCTGCCCCTGCCCTGAGCAGCCCTGGCTCAGCCCAGTGCGAGCTCCAGCTGCAGGGGGAGCGGGAGGAGGAATTCTGGACATGGAAAGCTGCTGGATTCTCTCCAGGGCAGAGCCAGAGAAGGAGGGGCTGGTGCATCCCCAAGGATCAGAGCTCTCCAGAGTGCCTGGGATGGCTGCTGGGAGGAGCTGGCTCCAACTGCCATGCACTCTGCTTGGAGAGTCAGGTCCGTGACTGGGGCTGTGCCCGGGGCACTGGGAGGGCTGAGCTCAGCCCGCTTCCCGAGAAAACCTGTTGGAAAATCTGATTCCTACAGCCCATGCCAAGAGGGAATGCACAGGATTGGGCCCTGCTCCTCTGCTCCTGCCTTCAGAGGCAGCTCCCCCTGCCTGGAATCCCCTTCCTGCCCTGGGAATGGATCCTCTGTGAGCCCAAGGCCTTTGCTGCTCCATGTCTGCATTTCCCCTTCCGGGTGTCTGGCCAGGGCTGAAATTTTTGCCTAAAAAAAGGGATTAGGAGGGATCTGGCAGCCTTGTCCTGTCAGAAGCCTGCTGTGGTTGAACTGGGCACCTTTGCAGGTGGCAGGATGGATCCTGCCCAGAGCCGTGGCATTCCCAGTGCTCCCAGTGGAAGCTGCTCCATTTCCCCTTCTCGGGGCTGGGGAGGTGTGGGGGTCTCAGAGGTGGCTGAACTCCTGCATTCCCCCTCTGGAGCCAGGCACGGAGCAGCAGGAGCCCCCTGGGCCTCCCAGTGCCTCTGCCCTCCCTGGAGCCTGGAATTCTGTACAGTATCCTTAGGGATGGTGTATATTCTGTACATAGTCCGTGTGTGTCCGTGCACAGCTCTGGGGGCCCTGCTGGCCCCAAACACTCTGTAAAGTAGAAAATATTAGTTTAAAAAAAACCAAACCTGAAGCCAAGCTGGGTCCTGGTTTGGAGTCTCCAGAGTTTATTTGGTTTGGGATGGGCCGTCCCTGCTGTGGGGTTTGGTCACTCCTGGTTCACAGCACCCAGCCTGGTGTGTGTCCCTCTGCCCTTCCCGGGGCAGGGAATCATGGAATCATTTGGGTTGGAAAATCCCCTGAGCCTGAGGAGTCTGACCCTCCCCCAAGGCCACCACTGCCCCACGTCCCCAAGTGCCACATCCACAGGGCTCTGAAACCCCTCCAGGGATGGGGCCTCCATCATCATCCTGTAGCTGTTCCTCAGCAGCCCAAATCTCCTCCTCCTGGCATTATCCCTCTCAATGATGTATTTTTAGTTTTGCATTTCTCCCAAACCTCATCTCCTGCAAACTCATTATCATAGAATCCCAGGAAGGTTTGGGTGGGAAGGGACCTTAAAGCCCCTCCAGCCCCACCCCTGCCATGGGCAGGGACACCTTCCACCAGCCCAGGTTACTCCAAGCCCTGTCCAACCTGGCCTTGGACACTTCCAGGGATGGGGCAGCCACAGCTTCTCTGGGCAACCTGGGCCAGGGCCTCCCCACCCTCCCAGCCAGCAATTCCTTCCCAGTCTCCCATCTATCCCTGCCCTCTGGCACTGGGAAGCCATTCCCCCTTGGCCTGTCCCTGCAGGCCACTGTAAATAGTCTCACTGCAGGATCATCCTTTTCCCTTTCCTCCACACTGTCCATTTTTCTCTCTGCCCCCTTCACCTCCCACCAGGTTTTCAGCCCTGCCTCGTTCCCAAATCCTGGGTTATCTGAGCCACTGTGTAGAATAAAAAATGCCCTATAAACTCTGCAGCCTAGATTAAATCCCTGTTTAACAGCTCCACGTCCCACTTAGTCCATGGGGTGGAGGGAAGCAGGGGATGCAGGATCACAAAATAGGCTGATAGTCAGTCACAGGCTTTAACAGGAATAAACAGGACATTCATTTCCCTGTTGGAACCTGCCCAGCACCTCCTGTGTCCTCAAACCTTTCCAGGCACGAGGGGCCAAGTCCGGCGGGGAGATCCTGCCCGGACAGGGAGCTATGGGAAGTGTCCCTGCCCGTGGCAGGGGTGGCACTGGATGGGCTTTAAGGTCTCTTCCAACCCAAACCTCTCCGTGATTCCATGAGCAGCCAACAACGTGCAGATCCTGCCTTGGCTCCGGGGGGAGCTCAGGGAACAGCCCCCAGGGACTGGAGGTGGGAGCTCAGGGAACAGCCCCCAGGGACTGGAGGTGGGAGCTCAGGGAACAGCCCCCAGGGACTGGAGGTGGGAGCTCAGGGAACAGCCCCCAGGGACTCGTCATAGAAAGCCTGGAGGCCCCGGGGGGGCTGCAGGGGGGGGCTCCTGCCCAGCACCTCCCGACGGAAGTTCTCCCTCATCCAGCCATAGACCAAACTGTGCAGGAAGCCCTGCAGGGACACGCTCAGGGCCTGGGGGAGAGAGGGAGAGGGAGAGGGAGAGGGAGAGGGCAAGGCCAGTGCTGCCATTCCCTGTCCCTGCAGACCCCAGGACCAGCCCAGGCCGAGTGACACAGGGACAGGTGACACAGGGACATGGGGAGGTGTCTCTCCTCATGATGTGGTTAATTAAACCACATCAAACCCCTGGGAAGAGCCAAAGGGTGAAACCCCAACTGCCAACCCGGTGGGAAGAGCCGGGCTGGGCCCGGGCTGTGTCCTCACCCTGCAGTCAGTGGGGTCCAGGCTGTCCCCGAGCCCTGTCACAGCCCCTGACCCTGTGGGGCCCAGCACCACTGACACATTGAGTGGGGACAAAAGTCCAGCTCGGGAGCCCTGGAAATGGGGTTTTACTCACTGCAGCAACGTAGAGGACAAGGACCGAGGCGGGTTTGATGCTGGTGAAGGAGAGGAGGGTGAGGAGGAAGGCTGTGGGTGGGAGACAAAAGGACAGTCTTCGGTGGGACACCCCCACCGTGACCCTGCGGGGCTGGGGGGGCCCTGGGACACCCCCCCGGACTTGCCTGGTGTCCAGCAGAGCAGGAAAACCAGCTGGAAGCAGCGGGAGGCTTTGCTGACGCTGCGGCCGCTCCCGCCCCCAAAGCCCGCGTCCCTCTCCAGGGGCAGCAAAGGCACCGCGACCGTCCCGCGGCAGCGGAGCCTCACCCGGCGGTACAGGAGCTGGGGAGGGGCCCGGGGGGGTCAGCGGGGCCGTCCCGGACCCCAAACCCGCCCCTGCCCCGCGCCCTCACCGTGCAGCAGCCGAGAACCAGCAGCAGGTACAGGAGGAAGATGATTTTCCCCGCCAGCCCCGCGTCGTTCTCACCGAGGTACTGGGAGGCAACGGGAACTCCGTGGGGCCGGGGCAGCCCTGCCCCGAGCTGTGCCAGCCCTGCCTCGAGCTGTGCTAACCCTGCCCCGAGCTGTACCAGCCCTGCCCCGAGCTGTGCCAGCCCTGCCCCGAGCTGTGCCAACCCTGCCCCGAGCTGTGCCCTGCCCCGACTGTGCTAACCCTGCCCCGAGCTGTGCCAACCCGCGTGCCCCGAGCTGTGCTGCCCTGCCCCGAGCTGACCCTGCCCGAGCAGCCCTGCCCCGAGCTGGTGCCAACCCTGCCCCGAGCTGTGCCAGCTAACCCTGCCCCGAGCTGTACCAGCCCTGCCCCGAGCTGTGCTAACCCTGCCCCGAGCTGTGCCAACCCTGCCCCGAGCTGTGCTAACCCTGCCCCGAGCTGTACCAACCCTGCCCCGAGCTGTGCCAACCCTGCCCCGAGCTGTGCTAACCCTGCCCCGAGCTGTACCAGCCCTGCCTCGAGCTGTGCCGCGACCCCACAGCCCGGGAGCTGCCGGAGCTGCCCCTGAGCCTCTAACGGGCCCCCCCTGTCCCGGCCCTTTGGAGCACCTGCCCGGGCGGATCCTGCACTCCCCAGAGCCCCCGCCCCGGCGGGGTGGGTGGGCAGCTCCGGGGGCAGGGACGGGCACCCGGCAGTGCTCACCTGGTAGCAAATGTCCTGGGCAGGGTGGATGAGCAGCAGGCAGCTGCAAGGAGAAGGACGGAGGATGCTACTGCCGGTCCCCAAATCCCCCACCCCATCCCCAAATCCCCAACCCCAAATCCCCAACCCCAAATCCCCAACCCCAAATCCCCAAATTACCGCAACCACAAATCCCCAACCATAAATCCCCCACTGCAACCCAAATTACCCCATCCCCAAATCCCCAGCCACAAATCCCCCACCCCAACCCAAAATGTCCCAATCCCAAATCCCCGCTCCCAAACCTAAATACCCCAAACCCAAATCCCCCACCTCAACCCCAAATCCCCCATCCCCAAATCCCTCACCTCAACCCCAAATCCCCCATCCCCAAATCCCCCATCCCCAAATCCCCCACCCCAACGCCTCCACCCCCGGCGGTGTCCCGTGGGGGGCAGGGAGGGGGTGCCCCCGGGCCCCGGGCCCGGACCTGGAGCAGTACAGCCCGAAGGTGCCGTGGGAGCCGTTCCCTTTCCAGGGCACCACGGGCGCGATGTCGGTGCCGGGGGTGCCGCGGGCGAGGAGCTGCCCCAGGAGCGTCAGCGCCGGCACCAGCCTGGGGGAGAGGGGGGAGCGTCCCGGCATGTCCTGGGCTGTCCTGGGACAGCCGGGGGGGATCGAGAGGGGCACCTACCAGGCCAGGATGTAGGGAATTCCCTGCCATGCGCTCTCCAGGCACCGGCTCCGCTCCTGCGGGAGGATCCTGCCCTGAGCTGGGGCTGCACGAGCGGCAGCAGCCGAGGATCCAGCCCCGCTCCCACCGGGATGAGGGGAACCACCAATGCCCCAGGGAATGGGGCTGTCCTGGATCCCCCCGCTGCCCCTCGGGTCCTGGCAGGGCCATGTGTGGGCAGAGCAATGCCCAGGTCCTGGCAGGGCTGTGTGAGGGCAGGGCGATGCCCAGGTCCTGGCAGGGCCATGTGTGGGCAGAGCAATGCCCAGGTCCTGGCAGGGCTGTGTGAGGGCAGGGCGATGCCCAGGTCCTGGCAGAGCGTTGTCCAGGTCCTGGCAGGGCTGTGTGAGGGCAGGGCGATGCCCGGCTCACCCGGGCGGGGTCACGGACCTGCAGCGCTGCCGCGGGCCGGGCTCTGCCGCCAAGGACGGTGCGATAGGACTCGTAGGCGTAGACAACGACCATGAGGAACGAGACCGAGTAGAAGGTCTGGGAGAAGAAAGGGAGAGGGACAAGGAGAGGGGGTCGGTCCTGCTGTGCCCAGCGCCCCCAGGGTACCTTCCCTGGTACCCTACCAGAGTACCTTCCCCGATGCCCCACCGGCCCCTTCCCTCCCCGTGCCCCGCAGCCCAACCCCACACCACCCCTCCAGCCCCTTCCCTCCTCCTGCACCCGCGGAGGGACCCCGTGGCCTCTCTGGCCGGTGGCCTCTCGGGGCCGGCAGCACTGACCGCCCGGGCCCCCCGTCCGTCCATCCCAGCCCGCAGACGGGGCTCAGCCGCTCCCGGCGGCCCAGGGGGGTCCCGGTGCCCCCTTACCGTGACCAGCATCCGCCCGTAGGGACAGGCGGCGTAGGCGGGCACGGAGAGCGGGGCCGGCAGCAGCTGCAGCGTGGCCGTGCCCAGCAGGGCAGCGGCGCCCAGGAAATCCGCCAGGGCCAGCAGGGCCAGGGGCCGCAGCTGGGGAGGGGGCACGGCGTTAGCTCGGATGGCAGAGCCCCCCCGAGCTCCCACGGCCCCCCGCGGGCTGGCACCGGCTGCTCCCGGGGGCCTGGAGCGAGCGCTGGACATCCCGCACCTCCCGCGGCTTTATCCCAGGGCCGGCCCGGCTTTGCCTCGGGCTTAGCTGCGGTCAGGTCCATCCCTGCGCCCCTGGAAGCTGGTGGCACTCACCTGGGAGTGGCAGCACTGCCGGCGGCACTTACCTGGATGCTCAGGAGCCGGTGACACTCACCTGGATGTGGCAGCACCGCCGCTGCCGGGAGGCGACAGCGAGGACGGATCCGCTGCCCAGGAGGCTGGAAAAGTCGGGGCTGGTGACAAATGTCCCGGCAGAGCTGCTGCCGAGCCCCAGTTCCAGCCCCGGGAGCGGGGCCAGGACCCACCTGAGCAGCGCGGCCGGGAGGGAGATTCCCATCAGCACCAGGACCTGGGGGAGACACGCGGGGAGCGCGGGCTCGGGAGTCCCGGAGCGGGGCCACCCCGGGAGCCTCGGCCGGCCCACGGCTCGGGGGGATGTGGAGCCCCGCGGCACGGCCGGACTCGCTCCCTCGGGCATCCAAAAACACCGGGAAAGGTGCTCGCCCGGAGAGGCCGTGGCAGGGCTGAGGGGGCAGCGGAGGGTTCGGGGCCGGTCCCTCCCCAGCCCCTCGGCGGCGGCCGCGCGGGGGGTGTCCCTGCTTCATCCTCCTGAGTTTTCCTCCCGAGATGCCCTCCTCAGCATCCCGGATTCCCTCGCCCGGGGCTGGGGAGCGCCAAGAAGCCGCGTCCCGCCCGGGGCCACGCCGGGAGCGGCTCCCAGACGGCGCTGCTGGAGCTGCCGCCGAGGAACCGGATCGCCGGGGCCGGACGGATCCCGGGGCTGAGTCACCGGGACAGCCGGGCAGGAGCCTGGGAAGAGCCGCTCCGGCCCAGCACGAGCCCTGCCCGGGGGGCCGGGACCCCTTTGCCGCTCCCAGAGCGGCCCCAGCTCCGGCGTGGGGGGACCCCGTGAGCCGGGATTTGTTGGAATGGGAACTGCAGCGTTCGGCAGCGCCATTCCCAGGTCTCCAGGGGGTTTCCCGCACGCACGTGGATTTACCTGGGTATCCGAGAGAGCCCACGGCTGCTCCTCTGCGTTGGCCATGGCCGGGGGTGGGAGCCTGGAGCCTTCCCGGCTCCGCCTGCGCTGGGCACAGCCCGGGATGGAGCGGCTGCTGGGAGCGCTGGCGCTGGAGCGGCTCCGCTGCCGCTGCCCGGGCTCGCTCCACACCCTCTGTGGGCACCCGGACACGGCCCAGCCGGAGGAACCTGCCCAGCCGGGGCAGGAGGAGCTTCCCCGAGGTGCAGGTGGATCATCCCAGCCCTGGGAGCAGGGAGGGATCAGCACCTCGGCTGGGGAGCCCAGGAGAGCACATGGACACCCCTGGGCATGTGGGGAGAGAGGGAACAGCACCGAGAGCTCCTTGTCCCGCTGGAGGAGTCCAGAGGAGGCCCCGGAGCTGCTGCCAGGGCTGGAGCCCCTCTGGAGCCAGGCTGGGAGAGCTGGGGGGGTTCCCCTGGAGAAGAGAAGGCTCCAGGGAGAGCTGAGAGCCCCTGGCAGGGCCTAAAGGGGCTCCAGAAGAGCTGGAGAGGGACTGGGGACAAGGCCTGGAGGGACAGGACACAGGGAATGGCTTCCCAGTGCCAGAGGGCAGGGAGAGATGGGATATTGGGAAGGAATTGCTGTCTGGGAGGGTGGGCAGGCCCTGGCCCAGGTTGCCCAGAGAAGCTGTGGCTGCCCCTGGATCCCTGGAAGTGTCCAAGGCCAGGTTGGATGGGGCTTGGAACAATCTGGGACAGTGGAAGGTGTCCCTGCCCCTGTCAGGGGTGGCACTGGAGGGGCTTTAAGGTCCCTTCCCACCCAAACCTTCCTGGGATTCTCAGTGCCAGATTCCTCTGCATCTTCTCCCCGGCACAGATCCAGCACTGATGGTGCAGGAATGAAGGATTCCCATTCCCACACTCACAGGGACCTCGGGAAATGAAGGCATTTATTAGTTTTGTTAGAATTTTAAACCCAAGGATGTTCTGATCTCCAAGCACTGCCCGGCCCAACACCACCAGAGTCCTGCCTCAAACAGGGATTTACCTTTATTTCAGGGATATTGGCTGAAGGAAGAGAGGGAAGAGGGAGGGAGGGAGGGATGGGAGGGAAGGTCTGAGGGAGGGAGGAGGAGGAGGAGGAGGAGGAGGAGGGAGAGGGGCGGGAGGGAGCAGGGGAAGAATTGCAGCAGGAGAGCTGAGGAGGGTGACAGTGACACAGGGGACTCGTTTGGCAGCTCCTGGATGTGCTCCTGGGCAGCTGCTTCCTTGTTCTCCTCCATCAGGTACGGAGGGATCAGGGGATCCCTGGGCAGTGGATCTCTGTGCTCCCAACTGGATCCCACCTTGTTCCCCCGCTCCCATCTGGGACCCCACACTGATCCCTGTCTCCCAGCTGGATCCCACCTCGTTCCTCTCCTCCCAGCTGGATCCCACATTGATCCCCACCACACCTGGGATCCATTCCAGGTCTCTTCATCCTCCAGGAGAGCACGAGGCAGAGGGAGAACAGGGATCATCCCCTCAGCCTGAGCAGCAAAGCTGAAGCAGGAGGCACCATCTCCCTCTGGTGTTGTGGGAATGGCTCCAGGGTGAGAGCTGGAGCCATCCCTGTTATTCCAGAGGCACCACTTAATTCAAACTTTCCAAACTGGGAGCAGGGTCCAGGCTCTTCCCTGGCTGAGCCAACACTTGCACCCTTGGGAAGCGTTCCAAACACTCCTGGGACAAACTGTCCCTTTCCCATCCAGTTCCCTCCATCCCAGCAGCACCTGGATCCCTCCCAGCAGGGACAGGTTCTGCCCAGGGCACGTTTTCCCTGAGGACTCTTTTGAGGAGAAATTGGGGCTGAGTTACTGGGAATCCAGGGGATTTGGCTGCTGGCAGGACCAGGACAGCCAAGGAGGCAAGGAGGGATGTTGCACCCCAGGGTCCCTCCCCCAGGAAGTGCCAGGGTGGCTGCAGCACCCCAGGATCCCTGTCCCAGGCCACTGGTGGGTCCCCTGGGATGGGCTGGGGACATGGGAGACCCCCAGTCTGTCCCCCTGGGGGCATGGCACCCCCTCCTTTCCCAGCCCAGGGACAGGGAACATCCGGGCCCTTCCCTGAGCTGTGAGGGGACACAGCACATCCCTCCTCCACACTGCTGCTCCTGCAGCTCCCAGGGCTCCAGCCCCAAGGGCAGGGCAGGATCCTGCCATGGAACTGGAGTTTGCTGCCCTTCCCAAGGCCCCCCCGGGCAGGGCAGCACCAGGAGCTGCTCCCCCAACCTGCTTTTAACTCCAGGCCCACCCGGGGGTGTTAATCCAGACTCATCCCTGTACTCTGGGCCGGGGAAGCTGAGCTTTGGTAGCCAAGGTTTAACCCCAAACAAGGGGCAGGAAAACAACACCACGGGGACGTTTGGCCTGCGCAGATGGGAAAGTTTGGGAGCTCCAGCTGAGCAGAGCTGGGAAGAGCCTGTTCCAGGCCCACCAGCAAAACATCCCTCCTGGGGCTCAGGGAGCGGGTTTCAGGATGTCCTGGCTTCCTTCTTTCACCAGTTCCCATGGAAACTAGGGAAGAATCTCCAGGTCCCTGCAGGCACTGCCCGGACCTGCCACCCCCTGCCCCCCACTGCTCCATCCCAGCAGGAACGGGGCCTTCCTTCCAAAACCAGCACTGCACAGCAGCAAAACTTCCCTGGAACTCCCAAAAACGAGGAGCAGGGCACCCATTCCAGCCTTTCCTCTGCTTCCTGCTCCCAAACGGGGCCAGGCAGCTCCAATTCCTGCTTGGCACCTTGGGGTGGGGAATCATCCCTGGCACCACCACAGTGGTGCCACCACTTCAACATCCAGGAGATCCTTTCTCCATCCTGGAATCACTGAGAATTCCCGAGGATCCCTGGGCAGGAAGGAGAGCACACCTGAGCCCTGGGAGGGGCCTGGGGCTGCATCCACTGTTAAATTGGTTCTGGAGAAGAAACGTTGGAGAAAACGCTCAAGATTTTCTGCATTAAACCTCCTCCTCTTGAGCCTCTCATGGTCTGGTGCTATTTTAGCTCCTTCTAAAGTGCTTCCCGCCCTCCTTTTAATCTTCTGAGTCACGAGCCCGGCTGGAGTTTGAAGATCCAAGTGAGTTCCACCCTAACCCACGCCTGACAGGTTGGAATCATCTTAAAACCCTCTTTAAAAAAGCATCAGGATCCTCAATTCCAGGGGTTTTAAACCAAGTCCCAACTCAGAGCAAATTCCCACACCAGGGCTGGAAGAGTTGGCACAATTCCACTGCAAATTGGTGCTAAAAACACTGGTTCGAGCCCAAATTGTGACCGGGAGCTCCGGGCACGGTCGGGAGGAGGTTTCACCACGAGCAAAGTGGTTTTGGTCGATCACCAGGACGTTCTTACGGACAAGGGAGTAAGAGCTGCCCCCTCATCTCTTCCCGTGGAGCCACCAGCTGCCCTGGGCCGAGTGCCTGGCGACGTCCTCCTTCTCCTCGGGGCTGAAGTGCAGGATGGTGAGGATGGCCGAGAGCGTCTGCTGCCGGCCCCGCGCGTCGGGCAGCGTCAGGAACCGGTACACCACGTTCTTCAGGTACTCCAGGTTGGCTCCTTCCCTGCTCCTGTCCCGGAAGTTCTTCTGGATCTCGCCCTGCAGCGCCGCCACCTCCTCGCGGTGCCTCTCCTGCTCGGCCAGGGCCTTCTCCCGCAGCCGGTGCAGCTGCCCCTCCAGGCCGTGCCGCTGCTTGCGCAGCGCCGCCACCTCCACCTCCTTGCGCGCCAGCTGCTCCGCGTACAGGAACAGCGTGGGCTCGGAGCCCGAGGGCAGGGGCAGGCCCTGGGGGAGAACCTCGGAGGAGCCGAGGCCGGGGGAGTCGCCGCAGGGGCCGTCCGGGGAGCTCTGGGAGGCCTGGAGCGCGGGGGGCGGCGCGTGGGGCAGCGCCAGGGCCCGCAGGCGCTCCAGCTCCTGGTCCTTCTCGGCCAGCACGGCCAGCGCCCGGTCCCGCTGCTTGTGCATCTCCTCCTCCAGGCGCAGCGCCCGCTCCCGGTACTCCAGCTGGCACCTCTCCAGCTCCTGCCGGTGCCGCTGCTGCAGCTGGGACAGCTCCTGCCTCTTGGCCTCCACGTCCTGCCGGTGCCACCGCTCCGCGTCGTCCGAGGCCAGCTGGAGCGCCACGTACTTCTCCTTGAGCTCCCCCAGCTGCTCCTGGGCCTCCTCCAGCTCCTTGGCCAGGTTGATGTCCTTGCTGGACTTGTTCTTCAGGACCAGCTGGGCCCTCACCTTGTAGCGCTCGAACTCCTCCTTCAGCTGCCTCAGCTCCTGCTGGTAGTACCCGGCCGTGGCCTTCTCGCCGTCCCCGGAGCCCCTGGGCAGCTCCGGCTCGCAGGGCTCCTCCACGTCCGCCTGGCTCTTCCCGGTGGCCGCCTGCAGGAGCTTCTTCAGCTTCTCCATCTTGTCCTTGAGCACGTTCACGTCCAGGTTGGCCTCCTCGCCGTGGATGTCCCCCGGGGCCCGGCTGGAGGCGGCGATGGCCAAGGTCTTGTTCTCCAGGTCCAGCTGCACGATGCGGTCCTTGAGCTTCTGGATGACCTGCTGGTCCTTCTGCTTGGCCTTCTCGTAGGTGCCCAGCAGCTCGGACGCCTGGGACACCTGAGCCTCCAGGTCGGCCACGCGCCGCTCCTCCATCTGCGCGCGGTGCCGGAGCTGCTCCTCGGCCTGGGCGGTCTGGGGGCACGGACGGGGCAGGGTCAGGGCAGCACGGGGGGCACAGGGTGCTCAGCTCTGCTCTGCCCCACCCCAAACCACTGCGGGGCCTCCCCTTCCCCGGGAATCCTGCAGGAGACACCTCCCGGCCTCGGCTTCTCGGGAATTTGCGTATTTGGAATCATGGAACGATTTGGGTGGGAAGGGACCCTCAGGATCCTCTACTCCCATCCCCTGCCACTAGATCCACTACTCCCACCTTTCACCAGACCAGGTTGCTCCAAGCTCCATCCAACCTGGCATAGGACACTTCCAGGGATCCAGGGGCAGTCATAGATGGTCTGGGCAGCCTGGGCCAGGGCCCCACCACCCTCACAGCCCTGTCCCTTCATGCCTTGTCCCAAGTCTCTCTCCAGCTGTCCTGGAGCCTCTTTAGGCCCTGGAAGGGACTCTAAGGTCTTTGGACTCTGATGGACTGGGAGGGGGAATTTGGCTCCTCCAGCCCCAAACCCTTCCTGAATCCCTGGACACGCCCCCCATTCCCAGCCAGGACTCACCTTCTTCATCTCCTGCACCAGCTGCACCTGGAAGTGGTTCTTGAGCCCGGCCATCTCCTCCTGGAGCTGCTGGATGCAGGGGTCGGCCTTGCTGTTCTCCTCCCGCACCCCCTGCAGCTCCCTCTTGAGCTCCTCCAGCTCCTGGCTCAGCTGCCGCACGTGCTGCTCGTGCCCCTGCGCCCGCTCGGGCGCCCCGGCCCTGCCGGCGGGCGCGTCCCGGCCCTGCTCCAGCCGCAGCTCCGCGTCCCGGCGCAGCTCCCGCTCCGCGCGCAGCAGCTCCTGCAGCTCCCGCAGCATCTCGGCGTGGTCGCCCTGCTCGCGCGCCCGCTCGTGCTGCTGCGTGATCAGCCGGGCCTTGGTCTCGGCCAGCTGCTCCCGCAGCCCCCCCAGCTCCAGCGCCAGCCGCTCCGCCTCGGCCCGCGCCCGCCGCGCCGCCTCCTCCAGCTCCTGCCGCATCTGCCGCTTGTCCGCCTGGTACGAGGCCTCCATGCGCGACTTCTCCTGCGTCACCGTGGCCAGGGCGCCCGTCAGGGTGGCCAGCTGGGCCTTCAGCTGCAGGAGCCTCCGCTCGGACTCGCCGAGGTCCCCCTCGGGGCCGGGAGGCTCCTCGGCTCTGTGGGCCGCGGGTCTGTCCTCCTTGGGCCCCGCGTCCGCCCCGGCGCAGCTCACGCCGCCCGCGGCGTCCACGGTGCTGCCGCTCGCGCCGGCCGTGCCGTCCCCCGTGGTGCTGCTCACACTGGTCCCGCTGGCCGCCGTGTCCCTGCTGGCCCCGCTGGCCGCAGTGTCCCTGCTGGCCCTGCTGGCCGCCGTGTCGGCGCTGGCGGCCGTGCCCGCGCTGTCCTCGCTGTGCTCGGAGCTCTGGTCATCCGGGGGCTCCCCGGGGCCGGGCGCCGGGAGATGGCCCTCGTGGGACACGGAGAGCACCTTCAGGCTGGCCTCCAGCGCCTCCTTCTCCTTGAGCAGGCTCTTGTAGGCCAGCACCATGTCCTTGAGCCGCGCCTGGTACCGCAGCAGCTGCTGCTTCTGCGCCTCGATGGTGTCCAGCAGGTCCTTCCTGCTGGGGCCGCCCCCGAAGCTCATCCCGAACTTCTCCATGGCCCGGGCAGCCTGCGGAGGGGAACCGGGACAGAGGGGGAACGAGAGGGAAAGAAATGTTTGGGATGGGCAGGAGCGGCTGGATGGGCTGGAGTGTCATCCTGGAACCCCCCAGCACACCAAAGGAGCAGGAACATCATCCTGAACCACCCCCAGGACCCCCAGCTTGACCCCCCCCAGGACCCCCATCCTGACCCCCTCAGGACCATCCTGACCCCCCACGGGCCCACATCCTGGGACTCCCAACCTGACCCATTCAGGACCATCCTGACCCTCCAGGACCCCCGCTCTGACCCCCCCCAGGACCCCCATCCTGACCACCTGCCCAGGACCACCCTGACCCCTCCAGTACCCCCATCCCGACTCCCCCCTGGACTCCCATCCTGAACCCCCCCGGACACCACCCTGAGCCCCCGGACGCTCATCCGGTTTCCCCTCAGGACCCCCAACCTGACCCATTCAGGACCATCCTGACCTCCCCCTCAGGACCCTCCCCTGAGCCGCCAGGGCCATCCTGACGGCCGCGGACCATCCGGACCCCCTCGGCCTCCCCTCGTTCCCCTCAATCCCCCCCGTTCCCCCCAATCCCCTCCGTTTCCCCCAATCCCCCACAGTCTCCCCCAACCCCCCCCAATCCCCTCCGTTCCCCCCAATCCCCCACAGTCTCCCCCAATCCCCCAGTCTCCCCCAATCCCCCCCGTTCCCCCCAGTCCCCCCCAATCCCCCCCAAACCCCCCGTTCCCCCTCACCCCCGCCCGCTGCCGCCGCCGCTTCCGCCGGAACCCGCCGTGTGGGCGGAGTCAGAGGTGTGACGTAACGAAGGAGGCGGGACACGATTAAATAAACTGCTGGGAGGGGCGGGGGCACAGAGGGGGCGGGGCGTATAGGGATGTGGGCGTGACTGCGCCCTGTGGGCGTGGTCTGAGCGCACGGGGGCGAGGCCTGGGAGATAGGGGGCGTGGCCGATGCGGGGGCGTGGTCTGGGTGCAGGGCAGCGAGGGGGCGTGACCAAACATTGTGGGCGGGATCTAAGGCTCGGCGGAGTACCGAGGGGACAGCACGGCCGTCCCGTGTCCCCCAGTGTCCCCCTACTGTCCCCCGTGTCTCCCCTGTGTCTCTCCTGCTCCTCTTGTATCTCCCCTTATCCCCCTGTGTTCTCCTATATCCCCCCCATCCCCCCGTGTCCTTCCATATGCCCCCATATCCCCCCATGTCCCCCGTACCCACCTGTGTCCCTCCCCATTCCCTCCTGTGCCCCCCTGTGCCCCCCGTACCCTCCCGTGTCCCCCCGTGTGCCCCGTATGCCCCCGTGTACTCCCCGTGTCCCCCCATATCCCCCCTTGTTCCCCCATATCCCCCCGTGTTCCCCCATATCCCCCCGTGTTCCCCCATATACCCCCGTGTCCCCCCATATCTCCCCGTGTTCCCCCATATCCCTCCGTGTTCCCCCATATACCCCCGTGTCCCCCCATATCCCCCCGTGTTCCCACATGTCCCTCCCCATTCCCTCCTGTGCCCCCCGTGCCCCCCGTACCCTCCCATGTCCCCCCGTGTGCCCCGTATACCCCCGTGTACTCCCCGTGTCCCCCCATATCCCCCTGTGTTCCCCCATATCCCCCATATCCCCATATTCCCATGTCTCCCACATGTCCCTCCCAATTCCCTCCCGTGCCCCCCGTGAGCCCCCATATCCCACGTGTCCCTCCGTGTTCCCCCCTCGTCCTTTCCAATTCCCTTCCGTGCCCCACTGTATCCCCCATGTCCCACCCGTGTCCCACCCGTGCCCCTGCCATGTTCTCCCCAATTCCCCCTCCTGTCCCCCCCCATATCTCCCCGTGTCCTGCTCGTGTCCCACCCATGTCCCCCCTTGTCTCCCCGTGTCCCCACACCCACCGTGTCCCCCCGCGTGCCCCTCGTGGCACAGAGCAGTGCCCTGGTGCTGCCCGGGCTGTGCCGTGGGGCTGGCACGGCTCCTCCCGCTGCTCTGGCCTTTGGAGCTCAGTTTTATTCCTGGGGTGTTTTCCGTTCTCCCCAGAGTGGCCTCAGCTCTGAGTGCTTGGAAGTACTTGAATCCCGAGGACAGAGACAGGGAGGATCTTCCTTGCCATCCTTCCGTAAACTTCGTAGTGCTCTTTCTCTCAGGGAGGGTCGAGGGGCCATGGAGCTGCTGTGGAATGCCGAGGGATCAAACACCTCCATTGTACCCTGGGCCTGAACGTCTCTGTCTGGCTCCAGAGGCCACCGGAGAACCTGAGACCCCTGTGGGGCACCTGAGATCATGGAATGGTTTGGGTGGGAAGGGACCTTAAAGGTCATCTCCTGATGTCTCACCCCCTGCCATGGCAGGGACGCCTTCCAAGGTTGCTCCAAGCCCCATCCAACCTGGCCTTGGACATTTCCAGGGATCCAGGGGCAGCCACAGCTTCTCTGGGCAACCTGGCTCCACGACTCTGCCATGCCCAGCACGTGGAACCGGCCCCTCTGTGACATCAGCCCCGGCCCGGGGGCACCGGCAGGGCCGTGGGGGCTGCGCCGGCGGCCGAGCTGGAGGTGACCCCCCGCTCCTGGCACTGCCACCCATGGCTTGGCTGTGGCTCCTGGTCCTGCTGGCCCTGGCCGGGCCCGTGGGTGGCACCTGGGACACCTGCAGGTCAGTGGCCCCGGGACGTGGGAGGGAGCTCGGGAACACTGGGGGGGTTCCCAGCAGAACGGGGGCACAGACGTGCCCTCGGGGGTCCCTGGCCCTGCTGCCCCTCAGCGCAGTGTGGGGGGACAACAGGGGACCTGAGCGGCCCCTGGGCAGGGCAGTGATGGCTTTGTGCTTCCAGAGGGACCTGTGGGCTCCGGCCCATGGCTTCCGACCACAACTCCCTGATTCCCGACGGCCCCGTGGCTTTGGCCGACGGCACGTCCCGCGTCGTGGGGGGCACCGGTGTCCAGCCGGGGGCCTGGCCTGGCATCGTCAGCATCCAGGCCACCTGGAAGAATGGCACGTGGCACATGTGCTCGGGTGTCCTCCTCAGCTTCCAGTGGGTCCTCACAGTCGCCCACTGCTTCATCAGGGCCGGGTAAGGAGGGGCAGGGACAGGGATGTCCCCACAGCTCGGGCACGTGCCCAGGTCACAGCACCACGTGCTGCTCCCGTCCGGCTCTTTCCTCTCTGCTTCCCTCTCTCCCTTGGGAAGCAGAAGGCTGGGAAGCTGCCACAGTCCGTGGCTCTGCTCCCTCTCACCCCTCTCTTCATCAGGGACTTCTACCGATGGGACGTGGTGATTGGGGCCACGGATCTGACTCAGCCGGGCCCCGAGGCCGAGGTGAGGCACATCCAGAGGCTCCTGGTGCACCAGCACTACGTGGCTGCCACGGCAAGGAACGACATTGCCCTGCTGGAGCTGGACCGGCCCGTGGAGTGCAGTGACTACATCCAGCTGGGCTGTGTGCCCGACACCTCGGTGAGGGTCTCGGACCTGAAATCCTGCTACATCGCGGGATGGGATTTCTCTGCGGACACAGGCGAGTTCCCAAACAGGGTGTGTACCCTGGGTGAGCTGAGCACCCCGGGGACATGGGCTGGGTACCTGGGGACATGGGCTGGGACCCCGGGGACATGGGCTGGGTACCTGGGGACATGGGCTGGGCACCCCGGGGACATGGGCTGGGTACCTGGGGACATGGGCTGGGACCCCGGGGACATGGGCTGGGCACCCCGGGGACATGGGCTGGGACCCCATGGACATGGGCTGGGACCCCGGGGACATGGGCTGGGCACCCCGGGGACATGGGCTGGGCACCCCGGGGACATGGGCTGGGCACAACCACAGTCCAGCTGTGGCTGCAGGACATCAGCAGGGCCAGGTCTCGGAGCAGCCTGGGCTGGGGGAAGGGGTCCCTGCCCAGAGTGGGGGGTGGCACTGGATGAGCTTTAAGGTCCCTTCCACCCAAACCATTCTGTGACTCCCTGAAGACTGTGGAGAGATGGGCCTGGCCCCTTCCCCAGAGCCAACAGCAGGGACACAGGGGACAGTGTCACTCCAGGGGCAAAGCCAGTTCTGGGGAAGGGGTTCATCACAAGGCAGGGGAGGGGATGGGCACTGAGCTGCTGGAGGCTCATTCCCTTCCCTACCAACAGCTCTGGGACCAAATGTGGTGCTGCAGGAGGCCAAGGTCCACCTCATGGACACACGGCTCTGCAACAGCAGCCGGTGGTACGGGGGGGCCGTGCACCCCGAAAACCTGTGTGCTGGGTACCCGCAGGGTGGCATCGACACCTGCCAGGTGGGAGCGTGGCACCAGTCCCTCAGCCCTGCCAGCACAGGGACCCCCTGCCCCCAAACATGGCACGGGCTGGGCCTGGGTCCCCTCGGGTCCCCATCACTGCCAGGGCTGCCCTGTCCCATGTCCCCTATCCCAGGGCTGTCCTGTCCCATGTCCCCTATCCCAGGGCTGCCCTGTCCCATGTCCCCTATCCCAGGGCTGCCCTGTCCCATGTCCCCTATCTCAGGGCTGCCCTGTCCCCTTTCCCATATCCCAGGGCTGCCCTGTCCCATGTCCCCTATCCCAGGGCTGCCTTGTCCCGTGTCCCCTATCCCAGGGCTGCCCTGTCCCATGTCCCCTATCCCAGGGCTGCCCTGTCCCATGTCCCCTATCCCAGGGCTGCCCTCCCCTTCCCCATCCACGAGTCCCTGTCCTGTGTCTCCTTGTCCCCAAGGCCTGGCTCTGCCCACAAAGCCCATCCAGTGCTCCTGGCAGCCCCGAGCTGCAGATGTGACCCTGGATCATCCATCCTCTGCACATCTGGGACCACTGTGCAGAGATGGGACAGCCCCCAGCCTGCTCCCAGCCGAGGCTCTGGAGGCTCCAGCCCCCAGGCAGAGCCTCCCCATGCTGGGAATGTGGCTCTGGCAGGGGCTGGGAGAGAGGAGCCAGCCCTGCTGCTGCAGCAGCCCCCCACAAACCCTGAGCCCTCTCTCCTGCCACAGGGGGACAGCGGGGGTCCCCTGGTCTGCAAGGACAAGAGAGCTGACTACTTCTGGCTGGTGGGGCTGAGCAGCTGGGGAAGAGGCTGCTACAAAGCCAGGCACCCCGGGATCTACACCTCCACTCAGCACTTCCACAACTGGATCCTGGTCCAGACGGGCCTGACCCCAGTAGAAATTGCCACTCCAACACCAGCCACTCCAGCACCAGAGCCAGGCTGTACCCCGGCCCCCGAGGAGATCCCAGTGCCAGCGATCACCCCGACCCCCCAGGAAATCCCCACACGACAGGTCATCTTGATCCCCGAGGAAGAGGAGGAAGAGGAGGAGGAGGAGGAGGAGGAGGAGGAGGAAGAGGAGCCAACGCCAGAGCCAGAACCAACCATCATCTCGACCCCAGAAGAGGAGGAGGAGGAGGAAGAGGAGGAGGAGGAGCCGACGCCAGAACCAACCATCATCTCGACCCCAGAAGAGGAGGAGGAGGAGGAAGAGGAGGAGGAGGAGCCGATGCCAGAGCCAGAACCAACCATCATCTCGACCCCAGAAGAGGAGGAGGAGGAGGAAGAGGAGGAGGAGGAGCCGATGCCAGAGCCAGAACCAACCATCATCTCGACCCCAGAAGAGGAGGAGGAGGAGGAGGAGGAGGAGCCGATGCCAGAGCCAGAACCAACCATCATCTCGACCCCAGAAGAGGAGGAGGAGGAGGAGGAGGAGGAAGAGGAGGAGGAGCCGCTGCCAGAGCCAGAACCAGAGGCAGAGACAAGGCCAGCCGCCGTGTTGATCCCCGAGGAGGAGGAGGAGGAGGAGGAGCCGGTGCCCACACCGCAATCCGACAGGCTGCTGATCATTTCAGTGCCCTACCAGAGCCTGGTGAAATTCTGTAACCTGCTGACGAACTTCTTGCGGTTGCTGAGGGACAAAATTGATTGACCAGAAGGACGAGCAGGTCCAGTTCTGGCTGCCGTGGATCAGGACCATTCCCTGATGGAATCACGGCTGTGGGGCCAAAGGCAGCCCCAGTGCCCAGGACTGTTCCGTCCTCTCCCGCTCCTCCCCTGCCCCACCCCGATGGAGAAGTTCTGTTGTTATCGAAATAAAGTTTTCGTGTTCCCCGTTAACCACGTTTTCAGCCCAGTTCAGTCTCCTGTGCCAGGCAGGGACGGGACAGTCTGGGAACCCCGGGGAAACGAGCCGGGTCGGCCCCTGGTCTGGGAGGAGACGAGGGCGGAGACGGGCAGGAGCGGGAAAAGCGATTTAATAAAGGAGCGGGGCAGCAACAGGAGCAGCTGGAGCGGGGAGTCCTGGAGCCACGAGGGCCATGGAGGTGCTGGAGGATGCCCACCCTGAGCTGCTGCTGCCCAGCCAGGCGTGTCCCCTCTGCACCGAGGTGCTGCCCCTGGGGCTGCCGGGACCCCCCATCCCACCCTCCAGCCCAGGAGGGATCTCTGGATCCAGGACGTGCCCTCTGCTCCTCCTGGATCCTGTGAGATCCACCTCCAAGGAGCTGTGGTGGCTCCGGAGAAGATACTGAGCCTGGTCCCTCCCAGGACACGTCGGGGCTCCTTAATTCCATGATCCACCCCTGTTCGGGGGCCGGTTTGGTTCTTCGGGGGCTGTCCCGGCCATGGTGTCCCGGCCATCACCGATGTCTCCCCGCACAGAAATCCTCAGCTCCCGGCACAGGGGTTGTCTCGGGCCCTCCGTCCTGCCAGGGCCCCTCAGAGCCAGGGGCACCGCGGGCCGTGGAGGCGGGCGAGGGGTTCCGGGGGGCTGGCGAGGGGCGGCGGCAACGGGGGCTCAGCGGGGCTCCGGGCACCAGGCTGGCACCGGGGGGCAGGGGTCCCGGGGGGCAGCAGGGCGAAGGGGGGGCTCTCCAGGGGCTGCCAAGGCGCTGTAGGGGCGCTCCCGCCCGGAGCCGAACCTGCGGGAGGGACGCGGGGCTCAGGCACCGCCCTCGCCCCCAGCCCCGCTCTGCCCTGGGCGGGGGACACCCACCCGGGGCCAGCGGGGAGAGGGACGGGGTCCCAACACCCTCCAGCACCCTGGCGGTCCCGCGCCCCGCCGGCAGCTCCCACCCTGCCCGTGCCCGGGGGTCCCAGCCCCTTTTACCGCAGCGAGCGTCGTCCCAGGCGCAGGGGCCGGAGGCGCAGAGGTGCAGCGGGGCCGGGGGGCCCGGCAAGGAGCGGAGGCCGTGGATGGGGCCGTGGTCGTGGATGTGGCCGTGGAGGGGCTGCGGGGAGCCCGCGAGGGTGTCCGAGAGGGGCTGTGGGGACCAGGAAGCGGGATGTCCCGGGGCATCCGTGGGGATGCTTTGGGATGAAGTCACCCCAAAGGGGACCGGCAGAGGATCACCCTCCGGGACCGCTCCCGAGAGGGCTCCCCGATGGGAGCGCGGGCTCCAGAGCGTGCCGGAGCCTATCGGGGTGCCGGCCAGGTGTCCCCAGCGCCCATCGGGACGGGCCCCCGGCCGTGTCCTACCTGTGCGGCTGTTGTGGAGGTGGGACGGAAAGCGGACACGGATCCGCGGGGCAGGATCCAGTCGCACCAGGAGCCTGCGTGGGCACAGGCAGGGAGGGAAATGTCCTGGCTCGGGGACCGCGGGGCCCCCAGACCTGATTTTGGGGCAGTGAGGGCTGACTTTTACCGGGGGCACAGACAGCAGCCGTGTCCTTTCCCTGACTCCCAGAGGGGTTCTGGGGAGCAACTCCAACAGTCCCAGCGCCAAATTTCAGCCGCACTCCCTCCCTGGGGTGTCCCTGAACCCCATCCCCTCCTCGGCGGTCCCCCCCCCCCCCGCCGCTCCGGGCTGTCACCTGCCCCGCCAGCCTCCAGCTGCTGCTTGGCCTCCCGTCGGCTCTTGGCTCGGCGGTTCGAGAACCAGACCTGGGGAGGGGGCGGGAGCTGAGGCTGCCGCTCCCCTTCCCGCGGCACCCGCGCCCCGGGAGCGCTCCAGCTCCTTGGCACAGCTCTGCAGCCCGGGACAAGGGCTCGTCACACCCCCGGGCACGGGCATGGACACGGGCAGAGGAAGGGGTTTGGTCCTGCATTTCCCCACCTCTCTGAGCCCCAAGCACATCCCAGGCTCCGGGTACTGCCCTGGCACAGGACACGGGACACTCGTGTGTGTGCTCTGCCATGGCGTGGGGTGTCCGCACGGACGGGACACTCAGGGGCTGCTGGCACTGCCTGGGCACCCAGGGGCCGGCAAGGCTCTGGGGCTGGAGGGGAAGGGGCTGCCACGAACAGGGGGAGGTTTGGCAGTGGCACGGGGATGTCGGTCTGGAGCTGGTGAGGGTGCCCGGGAGGAGTGTGTGAGGGGTGTGTGCCATGGAGAGTGCCGGGGAATGCTGGGTGTGCCACAGAGTGTGCCATGGAGTGTGCCATGGAGTGTGCCATGGAGTGTGCCACAGAGTGTGCCACAGAGTGTGCCATGGAGTGTGCCATGGAGTGTGCCACAGAGTGTGCCATGGAGTGTGCCATAGAGTGTGCCATGGAGTGTGCCACAGAGTGTGCCATGGAGTGTGCCACGGAGTGTGCCACAGAGTGTGCCATGGAGTGTGCCATGGAGTGTGCCACGGAGTGTGCCACGGCTCTGCGGTGCTGAGCTGTCCTGCCCAGTGGCACCATCCTGGGGTCCAGCAGTGCCCCCAGGACTACGCTGGCCCCGTGGCGGGGCAGAGCCGGGGCGGGAGCGGAGCGGTGGCCGCGCTGGGATGGGGAGAGCAGAGGCTGGGAACGGGGCCGGAGCGGTGGCCGTGCTGGGACAGACACGGCCTGGCCGGGGCTCTGCAGCCCGGGGATGCGTTGGCTGTGGCAGAGGTGACAGACACAGAGACATTGCCGGGGGCATCCAGGGTCCCACGGTCCCGATCCCGATGTGAGACCTGCCCTGCTGCCGCCCGTGCCCGGCCATCAGCGCGTAGGGAACCCCGAGCTGGGGACAAACCCAGCCCTCAGGGGTCACTCCCACCATCCTGAGCCCGTCCCCACTCTGCCACCGCCAGCAGTGGTGACACTGTTTGGAGATGTCCCCGAAGCCGGGAGGGATCTCTGTCCCCCCGGGCTGCCAGCCCCGATCCCGGCGCTCTGGCCGCGCTGTTCTGTCCCCAGGACGCGGTGGGTTCCCCCTTACCCTGATGGTCGTGTCCGGGAGCTGGGTGGCCGCGGCCAGTCTCTCCCGGGTGACGGTGTCCGGGTACTGTGCCAGCTGGAACTCTGCCAGGGGGATTGGGGAGACGTGAGCCTGTTTGGGGCAACACCCTCTGGCACCTCGGCAGGAGATGCCGGATGTGCGGCCCCAGCCAGACCCCAGTGCCCACATTTTGGGATGGTCCCTCACGGGGACACGAGCCCATCCAGAAACTGGCAACGCCTTCCCTCGGGAATGGCGCTGCTCCATCCCGGCTGGGAGCCGGCATTCCGTGGGAAACGCACCTTTCTCCAGCGCCTCCGACTGCTGCCGGGAGAACACGGTCCTGCTCCTGTGCCGGGGGCGCGGCGGGAGCCTTCGGTCGGATTCGGAGCCCTGCGGAGGGTGCTGAGCCCCCGGGGGGGCGGCGGTGCCGGCTGCGGGGGGCGAGCAGCAACCGGGGGGCTGCGGGACGGCCAGAGAGGACACTGCGGGGACACAAAGGCAGAAGGTGGGGGGACCCCGGCCCTGGGGCTCCCTGGAGGGGCTGGGAAGGGTCGGGGCTGGTCCTGAGCCCCTCTGCTTTGGGAACACCCCAGCGAGGCTCACCCCGTGGCCGCGGGTCCCGGGGCTCGGCCGCCAGCCGCAGGTCACTGGGCAGGTTCCTCAGGACCCGGTTGATGGAGGAGACCTGGGGAGGGAGACAGGGGGATGTGCCCGGGCAGGGGGGCAGGACCCAAGAGGAGGAGCAGGTGGGAGCACTGCCGAGCAGGGATATCAGTCACAGGGTCACCACGGTGTCCCGACGCCCGAGGTGGCAGCTGGCTTGCGGGGTGGCCGTCGGGGCTCTGCTTTAGCTGGGAAGGATCAATTTGCCTTCCCCTCCCTACCTGCTCCACATCACCCAGCACTGAGCCCTTCCTCGTGTTATTCTTCCCATTCCTGAGTCCTTCCTGCTGCTCTGAGCTCTTCTCTTCACCTGAGCCCTTCCCTGCGCATCCCTCCCACTGCCCTGAGACCTTCCCACGGCCCTGAGCCCTTCCGTCCTCACCATTTCCATTGCCCCTGCACATCCTCCCCGTTTCCAACCCCTTCCCATCACCCAGAGCCCTTCCCAGGGCCTCCTTCCCACGGCCCCGAGACCTTCCCTGTGCACCCTTCCCACATCCCCCCGCCTCCAGCCCCCAGCCGTGGGCTCGGGCCCCCCGGCCCCGCCGTGCCCGGCGCGGTGCCCCCGCAGGACTCACGCTGGGGGTGCCGAGGCCGGCGCAGGTCCCCTCGCGGTGCAGCTGCCGGCGGATCTCCCAGGCGAAGAGCCCGGGCCGCTCCAGCTTCAGCCGCGCGATCCTGGCCACCACCTCGGGGGTGGCCGTGCGGGCCCTGCTGCCCCCCGCGGCCTTGGGCCCCACGGCCCCCGTGCGCTGGTACCGGCCCAGGATCTTGCTGACGCAGCCGTTGGACACCTGTGGATGGGGCGGGAAAGCTCAGCGGGATTTGGGGGAGAAGGAGACCCCGGCACCCCCCCGCACCCGGCCGGACGCACCTTGAGGCTGCGGGAGATGTCGGAGGAGCGGAGCCCGCTCGCCGCCAGCTCGATGATCCTCTGCCTCTTGCAGGTGGGGAGGGGGCGGCCGTTCAGGAAGAGCCCCCCCAGCTGGTTCACACCGCTGGGCCCTGGGGAGGGGGACAGGGCTGGGTGGGAGGGGGGAGCTGCCTGTCCTTCCCTCCCCGGGTTCCCAGGAGAGCGCCGGGGATGGGACCAGGACCGGTGGCATCGGGAACCCGGGGGGGGTTTGGAGGGGGCTGGGTGGGCAGGAGGAGTTGGGGCTTGGAGGGACCTGGGGTTGTTTGCTGGGGGGTGAGTGCAGGCAGCGGGCAGCAGGAACAGGCAGGCAACGGGAGAACCAGCCCAGGCGATGCCAGCAGGAAAATACCCCACGGAAGAGCGCAGGGAGGGTTTGGGGAGAGCAGCGGCAAAGGGGGTTGACC